ACTTAGGGCTGTGACAAAGCAGACTGGAGTCTGGGGAACAAAGGCCAGGAAATCCATTGCCTCTCCAGCCCCAGTACAGATGACACACCCCTCTGACTTGACAAGCACTCGTCCATGACTAGCCTTGATGGTATTCTTCTACTCACCAGTACTTTTTAGCAAATACCATCGGCTCTTTTTTCTTCATAAAGCTGGGGGAAAACATTCTCATGGTAGGGCCAGTACCACCATTGAGCAAGAAAAGGCAACTGCTTCAGGCATTAGATGCAGGAAGAAGCAGAGCAACCTTCTAGCCATTCCTCAGAGTCTTCTGGGTATTCTCCCCTTGAGAGGATAGAAATGTATATGCTACACAGCCTGTCTCACACCTCGTAAGCTAGGCTGCAGTCTTGAGGTGGTGGGGGCCCTCTCTTATTACTACTTTTGAAACAAGATTGATCTGCCAGGCTTGTTAGCTTCTGTGCATGGTGTAGAGGAGGCCCCATCTTGTCTTTTGTCTTAGGCAGCAAAATGTTTTGGGTCTGCTCTATCTCATGGACAACATTTTCAAGAAAGAATCAGCTACAGGACTGCATACTTAACCACTTTATCCATTCTGTTAGTTTGCACATATATTTGTCTGCACAAAAATAATCAGTGGAGAACAAGCAGATGCACCATTCTGCCCTGAAAGCACTTGTTCTTGGCAAAGAAGGAGCAACCTGGTATAATAGTTTCCCACATCTTAATACATGCTAGACAAACCTCCACCTTTAGTAATGTTCTTCCCCAATCTTGATTCCTGCCTTCTCTTAAAATATGAAGCTGTATCCCCTTCATCTCTTGGGAGTACTGCTAAAAGAACCAACACTTTCTGCAGCCAGTTGAAATAGGTCAAATGCCAAAGTACTTAGGTGCTCTCCAACTGTTGGAGGACTCTGTCTGGCAGCTTCTTGGATGCCCTTCAAGTGGTTTCACACATCTGTGTGTGGAATACTATTGCCTTAACTTTTTTCTACCTGTAACCCAGTTGATTGGCCTCTGTAAAGTGTGAGCCAATTTTCCAAGAAATTGAGGTGGTTGGGGAAAGGAATCTGACTTCACCCTTTCTTCTGTCTCAACTTTTTCTTGGCTAGATACCATCTTGGAATCCAGCAAAATTAAATGGAGGGGAAGCATTAGTAAACCAGCAAGTTGCTGTGTTAGATTTTCTTTGAAAAGTTGTGCATAAATCAAGCCTATATAAAACATAAGCAAGAACATGTCAAATATCAGTGGGAGAAGTAAGCTTTGTTTATGTCTGTTTATGTTTAGCCATGTACTTCAGGTGTTACACTTGCTAACAGTGTAAATGATAGATTAAGAGACCTGTGGCAATTCAGTAGGCAGTTGGCTAACCTCCATAAATGAAATGTGGATATGAAAGGAAACACATGAGTTTTGTGGGGATCAGTAAGCAGAGGAGGCATGGAACAAATGGGCATAAAGATATGCAGAATAAAGACTAAGAAACCAGGAAGTACCCATGGTCTCAAGTTGGTAATTTTCAAAACCATAGTTACGTAAGATTAACCATGGTTTCACAGTTCAGGGTTCATTTGGCACAATAAGCTACATCTAATGAAAAATATAAGGGAGAACTTCCAGTCTGTTCATTGCTGTGCCAGATTTGGAGAGAGAAGGAAAGGCATATCAGCCAAGGGGAAGGATAGGCATAACCACATGCTGGTAAGTCATGATGTCCAGATGCAGTGAGGATCTTGCCTTTGATGCTGTAATCTTAAAGTGTAATCTTAAGTCTTAAAGATTTCCCTCTTGCTCATTCAGTTTGAGGTGAATGTCTGGTAATGTGGGCTCCCAGACTGGCTTGATCCCCAGCAGCCTCTCTTTAATAAGAACTGCTGGAAGATCCATCTCAAATAACTTGGTCTTTGTTGCAGAATGGCAGCGGAAATCTGCTAATCCCACAATTATTCTATTCCTTTCCTGCCATGTGCGTTCACATTTTTCTTGCCTATTATGTAATGGAAGATCCACTAAGTGCATATGTCTCTTGGGAACCTTCCCATTAAATGTTGGAAGTCCATGGTCAAATAAAGATGAGTCTGTGAAAGAAACCTCTTTCTTCTAAAGCTTTCCATTCTATAAGTAAAATCTCTTGTTTGATGGAATCAATTAGACAACTCCATGTAGGAGGGTCTTGTGAAGTATGATGACTTAGCAACCATTAACTCAACTAGAAAGATGAGCAATTTTCTCCTGTCTGAGACAGTGAAGGCTTCTTCCCCTTGGTGATGATTGATAGAAAGGACATTTGGACTGGGAAGAATGGGGCTACAATTTCATAAGAGACATGTTCCTTAAGATCTGTGATGGGAAATCTTTCTGGACATGGAATCTGAAAGATTTTTATGTTGAGATCAACATAGGGATGGATGAAACACTCTATTTCTGTTCCATATCAGTTTTGAAATAATCAGTCATAAGCTTATTCCGTCCAAGGTCCACGTTTTAAACTACATGATAATCCACAATTTCTGATGCAATTACCCTAATATAGGCATTTTGCATGTTGTTTTTGAAGAACTAGGAACGGTATCACAAAACTCAGAAATGTGTGCTATCTGAGGTATAACTGTTCTGATCTACATAGTGTTCCAAGAACAGCAAATTAGAATGGTTTGCTTAAAGGTGCAGGCCAGGCTCAATTCTACTCCATCCCTAACTTTATCATCTTTCCCTTTGCATGTGGAGTGATTTTTTTTGTACTAAACATCTCCTGCATCCTAAATGGACCTTCTGCCAGTGAACTTGCTCCATGAGGTTCATGGATCCTTATGATTGCAAGGTGGTTTGCTAGCTACCATTCATATCCTGGAGATGCACCCAGCCAGATAACTTTTAGTTGCAGATGACAAGCCACCCAAAACTTCACCCAAGCCATGCAAAACATCTCATGGATGATTTCAAATTCAGGGTTTTTTTGGGGGGGAGAGATACTGTAACACCTATGGGTGGCTTTCCGTGGTGGATGGGCAGTTAGTGAAAGACAGTCCATATTTTCACCTCCCTTTTCACAGGACCATGACTCACTTTCAAGGCAATGGGATAAACTTTCAGGTGGGGGGGTAGGCTTACCTTTAAGGTTGAAGGGCTCAAGGATTTGCTATTTCTTTTAAGAGAGGTGGCTGCTTGACTGCATTCCTTTGGCACTTAGGGACGAACGATCTCATGGGGATGATGCTACATCACAACACAGTGTTCCCAGAGATGTTCTGGTAGTGCAGGAAGGAATGGCTGTCCTTGTTGGTATGCCCTCCTCCCAAAATGCCAAAAATGTCTGAGCCAAATACTTTGGATTTTGTTTACATTTATTCCATTTTTGGCATCGAAGGAACTCTGAAGCAGCTAACCACCTCTCTGCCATTTACAAATGTGTTAAGATATTTAAAGCATTAGCATGGCTTTTTATATTGCTGTAGTACTAAAAGCAACATTTAAACAAACCCAGGAGAATAAAAAAAAGCTTTCACCTGGCCTTCTTTGTCAGTCAAGTGCAAGCTATTCTAAATGGGGATATGCAAGATTAGAAAGATGCCATTTTGCACAAGGACAGAGATGCCCATTTTGATGTGCACAATTGGTTATATGTAATAAGTCTCTCTAGCCGTAGTGCCTGCAAACCGATGAGCTCTTTGAGGAGAATTCTTGGCTTCCTTCAGAGTTTTCAGTCTTTTGTTCAAAAGGGTGGGTGTGGAGAATGGTGGGGGGGGGGGAGAGTCCTGATGAAAAAATAAAGCAAGCACTGGCTTAAAAAATGCTTTTGTAGCACATATTTCTTGCAGGCGCCGAGGAGTAATGTACAAGGGCCGATTTTCCTGTGGGTGTTCAGAAGTGGGCGGAGAAGGCCCTTGTTTATGTTCTGAGTGACTGAGGAGAGAAGGGCAGGCGGGCTTCTGCCTGCAGTTCTCTGAATAAAAACTGACCTTATCATCGGTGGCAGAACATGCCTTTGTTTCTGTGCTTAAAATCATCTTGTTAACCTGGGGAAAATCATTCGGAAAATGCTGAGGGGGGCTTGGGTATCTGTGGGAAGGTGCTGCTAGTGGGGTGAGATGAGTGGAGGTGGAGATGAGAAAGAGAGACTGATTTAGGCATTTTCTATCGGTTCAGGAAACTTTGAAGGCAGGGCGAGAGTTTTACTGTCCAAAGTGTGTTTTTACAACCCCACATATGAAGCAGATGGCCGTGCGTGTGCATCTGAGTTCACCAGGGGGGGTAATTCTGGCGAGGGAGGGCAAACCATGGAGCAGAGGGGAACTGTGTAAGCAACAATCTGGAGCTGTAACTCTTCTTTTGACTTCTTCTGTTTCAAGTAAACACTCCATTACGCCCTCCCCTCTTCCCTTCCTCCACCCCCACCTCCCTTATTCAACATTGCTCATGTGTTTTCTATTTAAGGGCTGTAGCGCGAGGCAAATATGATTGGCGTCCACAGCCCCCTTTTGACTCTCGGCTCAAGCCTGTAAGAGCGAAGCAGGAGCTCAGCCTATAAGGGGGAGTAGTTGTGGGCTTGAGTATTCCTTACTCTCCCCATTTACTGAAGCAACTCTGGATTTCCTTTTTTCTTTTCATGCTGGTTGTGCCTGGGATGGATTTTTATCTCTGAGTGGGAACAAGGATGGTGTGGAACCATGTTGGAAAGAGGTTTATTTTCAAACTCCATCCTGCAACTTAGTGTCTAACAATATGCTATTGTGTTAAACTCTTGGGTGTGTTTTTCCCCCTCTTTCTCCCCTCCTCAACCACTCTCCAATGTTCCTCTGTGCTACTGAGTTGGGGGCCAGAGGAGACTGCTTCTATATGGCCAGCCATTTGGGGATATGCTGCGAGCCACGGTGGTGTTCTGATTGGCCTGGCACTGGTGACAACTCGGCCTATCAAGAGTCGGATGGACAGAGGTCGCTCTCCTGGAGCCATGGCTGGAAGCTGGCTCACAGCTTGCTTTTTCCCTTCCCCAGGTGCTGACGCTAGCTCTGAACCTATGATCCTGGAGCAGTATGTGGTGGTGTCCAACTATGAGAAACAGGAGAACTCCGAGATCAGCCTGCAGTCTGGAGAGGTGGTGGATGTCATAGAGAAGAATGAAAGTGGTAAGATGCATTTTGGAAGGAATATTGCATTTATTTAAATTGCCTCCCACTTCTTTCTCTCCATTTCCCCTTCAGTCCTTCATGTACTGCATCTGGTATAGTGCCTGACTCAGGAGGTGAGATTCCCCCCCCCCCCCACACACACACACACACATATTTGGTTTGGGCTTGGGGCCAAAATATTGCCTTCTACTACAAGAATGTCTCCTAAGCTTGTACATTAATTACCAATATACATTAATGGAAAACCTTGGAGTTGTGGGGAAGGGGGGTGTCCACAGCATATGCTCTGTATTTATTAGCATGATACAGTTTCTGTGCTGGAAAAGACCTTGGTATTTCCATTACTTGCCACTATTTGATGGATTTATTGTATGAGATACTAAAATGCTTCTCTGGGGATAAAAAACTGGCATGATAATTCAAACTTTTGCTCAGGACTACGGAGATACAGATATCTATATTACAGTGAAAGGCTTTAAGTGCTTTAAAAAGTGGGTTGTATATGTCATATGGGGAGTTGCTTTTAGCTGATGTAATCAATTGATTTATAAAAGGTATTATACTAGCTCAGTGAAGTAATTCATTCCCTTTAATTACCCAGTAGCAGTCTGTCTTCATTAAAGGAATTATGTTGGAAAGGGATGCAGCTAGATCAATTTTTCCCAAGCGGGTCTCTTCCAGGTGTGTTCCATCATTCCTGGCCAGCACAACCATTGACCATTTGGGTTGATGTAAGCTGTAGCTCAAGACATCTGGAGAGTACCAGGACAGAAAAAACTGGTCTAGAATGGTAAAACTATGCTGTGCAAGCTGAAACCTTTTAACAAGAGACAGCCCTGATTTAAAATGAGCAGTTCCAATCTGTAATGAATAAAATGTACTGATCAGGGTTTTCAGATAAAATAAGTACACACTAAAATGTTCAGGGAGGAAAAATAAATCAATTCCTTTTAGGGAATCTCCAGATTTTGTTTCTAAACTGAAACAGAAGGATATACTAGCTTTGTTTACATTATACATTAAGACTGCAATCCTATACCTCTTTATCTGAGAGTAAGTCCCATTGAATTAAATTGTACTTATGCCCAAGCAGATATGTATAGGATTGTAGTGTAAGCTATTTAACTACGATTTGAATTGTCTGCTATGTACTATGCAAATACATTTCTGATTGACCCTAAAGCTGATCTTTTCTATATGATAATTTATTGAATAATACATATTTCAGAAACATATCTGTACAACAATGGCTAGTTTGAAAGAGTTGAAACTGTTGGCTTCAACGTACAATGCTATGCATGTTGAAAGAGAAAAATGTCCCACAGCTTTCCAGTATTCTACAACTATCAGTAATGGGGAATGTTGGGAGCTGAAGGTTTTTTTCCTTTCTAAGCATGCATAGGATTGTGTCCTTAATCTTTTCAGTTGTCTAGAAGCTCTCATGCTTTTTCTTCTGAGAACCCTTATATCTGGAACTTGAGGTTCACAAAGCCCTTACTTCTAGACTTCTGTGTAGTAGCACTGGGTTATGGTGTGAATTCAAATAGTTATTGCTATCCTGGCATGGGCCAGAAGGAAGTCAAAGCAGAAATCCAATGAAAAAGGATGTGAAAATTGAAAGAGAACGGGGCTGTAAGTATCCAGGGTTTCCTCTGTTCAGATTTGTGGTAGAAGGGGCTAGATTCACCAATTGGTCAAAGTTTAAGTGGCATTTTAAATAAGTGGCTTCCATGATCTCCAAAATAAAAGATGGCTATATTTCTAGTAAAAGAAATGCTGATAGGGAAAAGGATGTTACAGATGAAGAATGCTTTAAAATTAAACACTTGAAGCTGGCACCTATAGAGACAGAAGAGTATGGAATCTAAGGAGAGAGATAATGCAATGAGAGGGAATCATGGTTCCCACAGTTGCAGGTGCCATATTTCCAGTAAAACATAAGACATTGCTTAAAAAATTAAAATCTGGCAGCCAACTGGAGGGCTTCTTCCTTGCTTTATGGAGTGTCTGTCTCTCCTTTCTTCCCTTTCTTTTTTGGTTTTTGAATGCAAACATCATATGCATTGAAACTTAATATATTCATATGCGTTATATTTCTATCCCACCTTTTTTCCTATAAGGAACCCAAGGTGGCTAGTAATGGTGCTCTCCATTGTATCCTCACTGTGAGGTAGGTGAGTCTGAGAGTCCATGACTGACCCAAACAGGACACCAATGTGGTAAATGGATGAGTGAAGACTAGAACCTTGATCTTCTGAATCCCAGCCCAGCACTGTAACCATTCTGTATGCTGGCTCTGAAAGTAGAATCTGACTACTTCCCAGAAATAAGGGATATGGCCCAGAATTTCAGATGGTTGCTCTGGAGTGAAACCAGCAACCACTTACTGGTTATATTTCCTTAAGGTCTGGTGTGGCATCCCTAGATAAGATGCTAGTTTTATGTTACATTCTATTGTACTAGTTTGTTGTGGTCCTGTTTTTCATGGTTTGGATTCTTTGTTGAACTCTGTCTATTTCTGTGAAATATTTCATTGTTACTGCCAGAGCAGGTATGGGGAAACTTCTTGTGGTGGAGTCATGCATCACTTCCTGAAGGACAAGAAACTATTATTACCAATTTTCTTTTTCTTGCTGGCAAAGGACTCATGGCACTTTTCTCCTATGCAGAAGCTATGGATTATGGGGTCAAAGGCATCTAAAGAGCACCAAGTGTGGAAAGGCTAATGTATATCAAAACCTTCTTGCTTAAAATGAATGAAAGAAATCCATGCTGCTTTTAAAATGCCTTTCCACTCGAGATCATCAAATTGCTCATACATAAAAAGATTGTACTGTCACGTCGTCTTCCCAATATTTTCGAGAAAGTGTGGGTGTTCGTTTCTGGGGTAGTGCTTTTGCTATAAATAAAAGCAGCAGCTGCAAGCTAGCCTGTCCGTCCCTTTAAAGTGGCCTGTTGCGGGCTGGTGTTGTGCAGAGAAGAGGGAGATTTGCCCCAAGGCCAAATATATACTTGTGCACGAAGCTAACTGGGTGGCCCTGGCAGGTTCTCCTTCTTAGTCGAACATGTCCTCTGGGATCATGATGAAGATAAACAAGTGGAGCACTTTGTACACTGGATAGCATTGGAAAGACTAGTAATAGTTGTAAACTTTATATTAAATACCTTTGTGCAAGGACTTTTTTTTATGTTGCTGCTTTTACATTACAAATGATTGGGCCTTTTCAAGAAAGGGGAGAAAACACTGAAGGAGCTGTTTTGCCACGTTTGGCTTGGATGTATCTTGAAATGGTCAAGTTATAAAATTGTGGCTGCTAGGCTATTTGTAATGGAAATCATGACATTCTGTTAAGTGTAATCTTGGGAAGGGAACATTCAGGGGTCTCTTTGCTCTCCAACTGGGATTTGCCCTTGCTATGGCGATAAGGTTAACAGTTTTAACTTGTCTGAATTGGCCCGTAGCTATTTCTTTGGCCATAACACATTCACTAATGTATTTAGCTATAATATTATATTAGAACATGAATAAAACAAACCTATTCTGGCCTAGGTAAACTACTAGGTACTTTATCAATATGTATTTTTAAGCAAAATAGTCCTTCCAGCTGAGGGAAGTGGATTGGCTTTCTCCTGTCTAGGATTATCTTTGCAGCTGTATAACTATTATTTCAAGAGAATTTTAATGTTTTTCCCCAGTCATGCTTTTATGCAATATATTAACAAATTTGGGCATTTCCCATACAACTAATTTATTTCTCTGTTTTACTTTATTGCCACGAAGACCTATTTGTGACTTTATACACACACAAACACGGTTAAAAATGCCAGGCTTGTTCTGTTGTTCCTAGGCCTGTTGCAGTTCAAATAAGCATACAGAATTTGCCCACCTCAGACAGTTCATGTAATTCAGCCAATTGCTCAGTCATGGAAAAAGTTCCAACCAAATTACCAGTTGCCTCAATGTTGTGGTTCTCCATAACCTTTCTGGACTCTCCCATTATTCAGTGAATAGCATCCCAATTCTGTAAACTCGCTCACAATCCATCTGGATCCTAGAAATAGTCTATAGAAGAATTGTATGGAAGAACTCTTTATTTTTGTAGCAGGTTTCTTTGTACAACTTGTGTTTTATACTTCTATATTCATCTATTTGCATTGTGGGAAAACTTGACAACTGCTACAAAAGTGTCAGACTCCAGTAGTTAAGATTATTATTGACTTCCCAATTCAGCCTTGTTTCTGGAAGTTTGACAATGTGCCAATATTATTTCTTTGATTAAAATTACACCATAGCTGGCAACCTATCCTCCCTGCTTTGTTAAAGCAATGCAGTAGCTGGACAACAGCCCTCGCTGGTCTTGCATGATCCTTGCTTGTCTTTGTGGTTTGTTGCACAAGTCTTGTATGTAGCTGACATAGTTCGGATGTTAAACATTTAGGGTAACTTTTGGGAAAAGGATTGGACCACCCCAGTGTGCTTTGGAAGAGTTGTTTTCTATTTTGGTTCCTTCTTGCCTGGCAGCAGAGAGTGCTGATAGGATAAAGCTGTGATATAATTGTGCTTAGGAGTGAAATGATGGGAGCCAGTCACTAGGTAACTGTGTTTTTATCACACACCTTCCTTGCTGAGACCAGGCTGGGGTGGTTACAGCTGACCAGTGTCACAAACTGCCCCATGTCAGCCTCCCATTGTATTTGACCAGAGAATTAGATTTTAAAAGTGGTAAATTAAATGTAAAAGGACCTTGATTTGCACTAGTTTGATTTCCTTTCTCTCTCCTTGTCGGGCTCCTCTCTGTTCTAGTGGCAGGAAGGCCAAGAAAAATGGGGATGGGGAGGGAACTGTTCTAGTTATGCCTTAGGCCACAAGGTAGTGTCCTGGAAGCTGATGATCAAGCTTAATCAAGTGCTTGCTTATTCCTTTGTGCCAGGAATGTGGAGAAGGGGATGTCAAGCTTTTTGTTTTTTGTGTTGTTTTTGTCATCTAATTGAAAACA